TGTAACAAAAAAAAATAGAAAGTACAACTAAAAATAAATAACAGGATGCATAACTAACGAAGTCACTATCTACGAAGCTCTATAATTGAACTATCTTAACCGCGTTCTTTCTAAGATACAGCTGAGATTCAGCAAACTTTCTGATTAAGACGTTGAAAGAATTCAACTAACTGCCGAAGTAGGCACACAGGCGGAAACGCGCGGTTCTTAAACTTCTACCAAGCAACCTTCACGCTCGTGAATCAAGAAGCACACTTATAAACTCGTTTCCCTTCTATTTAACTCAAATTACTTCTGCTAAAAACTCTGCGCGTTCTACTAAAATTTACATACTCTGGCATTGGCAATTCCAGGGGAAAGTAAAGGCTTGACAGGAAAGATAGCTTAAAATAAATGTTAGTTAAAATAAATATAAACCCTACAAGGCAATACGTCCCATTCTTCTTTATGCATCTCCAGCATGGGCTGCTACTGCAAAAATTCGAAAGATTCAAAACAAGGCAATTCGAATAATTACAAATGCACCCTGGTTTGTGCGGAATAGCACCTTACACAACGACTTGAAAATCAAACCAACAGATGCAAAAATTTTAAAATTATCTCATAACTTCTTTATGAAGTGCGACAATCATCCTGAAAATATTATTAAAAAACTTGGAAATTATGATTACACAGTAGAACAACGCCAGAAAAGACCCCGTACTATTCACCACAATAGTCGGTGGTTTAATTGTAGATATATTTTCGTTCTTTACTTATTTATCCAAGTTTTATTTTATTATTATTATTACTTTTCATCTTACCGCATTACTTTAACAAAGCGATATGGACTTTGTCCCTGCCAAAGCAGGTATAGACTTTGATGTGCATATAGTTTTATTCTTGTAAACCGTTTTCTACTGTGACAAACTATGCTATTTCATCAATAATCATTTGCCAATAATTACTTATCTAAAGAATAGTATGAATTTTTTTTTTTTCAAAATGCCTCACCTACAAGAGATGACTCCACCGGAGCACCAGCATACTAAGAAGCTTTTCATTTTCAAAAATAGATGGAGTCACATGAGCACCTTCGTATCTTCTAAGTTTACTTATCTCTCAACAGATGACGGCACTGGTGCCTCCATTAAAAATCTCTGAATTCTAGCACAGTATGGGTACAAGTACTTTCCATTCTAGTGGATTCAATTAAAAGAGTTTCTGATGCAACTTTTTTTATCTATTCCAGAAATGGTCCAGTTACCTATTATTGCGATTACAGATACAGTCAATTCCTATTTAACATGGACGATGTCTACGGTTTATTCAAAATCACGGTTAATGAAAGTCTGCTACAATTAACCAAACTTAAAACCACAGTACTTAAAAGAAACACATGTGAAATGATTAACTACTGATAATTAATAACAAATACTACTAACAGTTTGCTTATATTTTCAAATAATTTGATCTGAAGAATAAGTTCACTTTGTTACATAAATTAAATAAATATTCAAAACAAAATAAAAACATAATATTGTTGTGTTCTAAGGATTCTTAGATTTGAAGTGATTGATGACAAAGATTGATGACAACACTTAATGAATAATCAAAACACAATTTATTCGCCAGTATTACACAGGACAGTTCCGAAGACATGTTTAGAGTCGTCGAAAAACTACGACAAACACGCTGAATCAATCAGCAACACAGCCTTCAGGCTATAATGGTAAAGACAGCTTCACGGCAAAGCACTAAAGATACCGACTCGGTCGATCGCTCTCACGCTAATCTCTGAAACTCGAGACATTATTACTGAGCTCAAGATTTTCAGGATACTCTTGACGATAAACTGCTACTACGCGTACAGGCAGTGTTTATATAACTCTGAACCTGCCTTCGAGAACATTCTGAGGAAAAACCGGTAAGAATTCGTTATAGAATGTTACCGTCTATGGTATGTCGCCTATTTTGTCACCAAATGGACGATTTTGAACTAAATCTGGCAACCCTAAACTCGCTTTGGTTTCAATCCGAAACAATTTTACCGCAGCTGGGCATTTCGCAACAATATAAATAACGGAAGAATAAACATTATCAGGAAAGGGGAGAAATTAAAAATGATTACATCATACTCTGTAACGACTGTTATTTCATAAATTTTTCTTTTTAATTTAATAATTTTGTTTTATGTTGATGATTTCTGATACTATTTCTTCCATCGTTTTGCAGTATTTGCAGTTCTGTATCGTTCTGCAATGACACATTTTTTTGCACCGTTCTGCAATGACATATTTTATCGTATGCAGTTCTGCATCGTTCTGCAATGACATATTTTTTTAATGAAAGATAAGAAAAGTAAAGTGCCAAAAAATTGCTGTGGCATTATTTTTTTAATGGAAGATAAGAAACGTAACTTGCCATAAATTTGCTGTGACATTATTTCATCGTAAATGGCAATAGGTAAATGGCAATGGGCAATGGTAAATGGCAAAACTCGTTCACTTGTTTATTAAAAAAATAAGTTAATTATTCAAGATATTAATTTATTTTCCTGGATCGCTTGCGCCAAGGTTTGCGGCAAATATTTCCCTTAAGTAGAAAGATGTCTCATTTTGCAAGAACACGAAGTTTAATCGTAGAATATAATCAACATCTCTCCGAAATACTTAAAAATAAAAAGACAAGAAATGTTATAGCTCTCTTTCCCAGTTTACCAAAATCATACTCTTTGGAAGTCAATCCTGCAAAGTATACTAACTCAATCAAAATGAAATCCGTGATCGAATCATTATTATATTGCTATTAAAATTATTTAACAGAACTACTGAAGAAACTTCTTAATGTTATTGAATTGCGTCTTATTAAATCTTGCATTTGATTAGTTGTTGCTAGTCATTCTAAAAGAAAATTAAAAGTCACTTAATTGTACGGCGTCAAACAAAATTATGACTGTACTCGTAAAAATAAAACAGCATTCACAATTTACTTTGAATCAATTTAATTAGTTAAAGAATTTACTTAGTATTTCGGACTATATCAAAATACCTTCTTCTTCGTTATATCCTTAATAAGCTATTTGCTGTCCAAGCCCTGCGCCCGAATGTGAAACTTTTGACTCTGGGAAACTTCCCTTGACTCTTTTTTTTTTTTTTTTTTTTTTTTTTTTTCCTTCGTAATGTTTAAAGATATTTCAAAATGTATTTTTATTTTTTCGAAATATTTTAATTCCTTATCCCGTGCATCATTAAAGCTGGCTGATAAAGATCAGTGGATGAGAAATTACTAAACACTTATAAGGTATTTCCCCCGCCTTCCTAGCTTGCCTTCGTGGTGTAGTGGTTCTGTACGCTGGGCCGGTATTCCAGAGGTTCATGGTTCGATTCCCGGCGAAGGCGATTGCTCATTTTTCATCTTGCCTGCTTCCAAAAAATACCTAATGTCTCTACACACTGACGCTTCTTTTCTTCCGGCAAATAGAGATAATTCAGATCCCCGCACAAGCACTGCAGGAATTGCAGGACATCTATATAAAACATCCAGTATTTCATGTTCATGATCATGGATATTATTACTCGATGGAAATATGGAGTAACTGCATAGACATCATTAATATGTAGAGTAATAAAATGTTCATTCTAAGCACCTACGAGATACAGTATATACATACTTGAATGTATATACTGTATCTCGTAGGTATCCATAAAGTTAAATTTAATAATCACAACGTGTACTGAAGTTTAAAATTTATGTGGTTAAACATCTACAGAATATGATGTTGAAAAACACATTTTTTATATTATTATTTAATGTATAAATAGATCCAAAATTGCTCTCATTACTTCAGTAGAATGGAATCTGTGCCCTGTTGTAAAGGTGGCGGCACCCTTGTACAAGTCAGTCGATGTTTGAAGAGACGGATGTCTTCACAAATGTGTCTGGCGCAAAGGTGGCGGCAGCTTTATGAAGATTGGTTTTTAGCTTAGATGAAAGTGCCGGTGTTCTTGTATACAAGTGAAATTTTCCTTATTCTTATTAAGCAAAGAAATATAAGGCATCTGGCTCCTTTATTAAAGCTATTTGCTTCAGTTTAAAAACTTATCTTCATAATGGAGTTAGCATCTTTATGACAGAACATCCTTATGAAAGTATGAGTTGGAGGACATTGGCCAGTCTGCCAAAATCCTTATGGGTCAGCATAATGAATGAGCTATAAGAAGTTGTTTCTTTGCATAACAATATCATTTTGATAGACGTTCATATATATTCGAATTTATTTTTAACAATTCAATTAAAAGTCTAAAAGACTTTAAATTTCATCATATACAAAAAAGGGGGGGCCTGATAATTTTTATTGATACAAGAACAAGGAAAATTAAGAGAATGCATAAAGGAACTTGCCAATGCAACCAAGCTGTAAAACACAAAGTTACCATTCATTTCGATTTTAACGCATGAATCAAAGAATGCATTAAAATGTTAGCAATATGGAATAAGTTCCATGTCGAAAGCAGCATTAAAAAATATGCAGAACAGCTAAACAATCACATATTCCTCTGGTATTTGAAATGTAAAAATTACCTGCAATTAAAAGTATATTAAGGCACGTCTACCTAAGAAATCGTGACAGACATTAATACCGATGCGCCTTGATGCATTTTTTAAGATCACCATTAATGCGCCACATAAGCGTAAATATTATCCATTAAAAGCAGCTTCGCAAACAAATTTCTCGAGTTACTGAAAAGATTGGCAGAAGCGGAGAATCATTAACTGATAATATCAGTATTAATTCAAATAAAGCAACAGAAATTCTGAGTTAATCATTCATTAATCGCATCCAGACTTTTATGGATGTTCATGAAAATGCAATAACTGCCAGAAAATATGAGTCCCTTACTACGTCATCTCAAATAAAACAAAATGACGTTGATGTGGTGGAAAAGTGTTACGGAAATAATCACTGAAGTATGCACTTTTGGTATATAAAAGGCGGTTACTATAGCACGACCAGTGTAGATTTCCGAATCCAATCGGCTCAGCTACGATGATTCGGTGGAATTTCGGTGTCATTCTGATTATCCTTGTTGCATCTTTTGAACTGCTTGGTTCAGCTCATGGTAGAAGCAATCGCGTGAAAAATCCCTTGCTTGACCCATCAAAGGCCAATGGCTTCATCAACTCTTTCCTAAGGTATCTAATTCAATCCGGTGCTTTTGCTGCAAAGCAAGAGCAAGACATCGCAGATGTCATCGATACCCTTCAACAGGCAATGTCATCGACGCAGAGTTCTAAGCGAGGGTCCGCAGCTAAGTCGCAAGCCATGACCCTTGCATTTGCGTCGGTGATAGCAGATCTTGTCGTCATAGATGATGAAAATGGACAAGGAGTGTCTATTGAACAAAAAAAATCTGTTATCAAACAAGCTCTTGAAAAAGCATTTATGGAGACACAGGGAAGCATCGACCACTCCTTCATCCATGAAATAGAGAATTTGATAAAAGTTTTCGAAGAAGAAAATGCTCAAAGTTACGATGATAACGCAGAAGACCAATCAAACGATGACAAAAGCTATGGTTTTCTACAGCCAGTCAGCGACCTTGGAGCACCACAGATTGATGCGGGTGTATATGGCAAATTCAATCTGGGAGCACAAAATCTATTCGACAGTAACTTGAACCTAGATGTGCAGCCAGCATTTTTAACTTCAGTGCCCAGTAAGTACTCTTTTGATAAAAAATAATATATTAATTAAGGACTATAAATTCAAGAATGATTAATCGTTGTTACAGTGTTGCCTTAAGCATTCTTTCACTTGATTCAGAAACGTGCTGCTTTAAAACTGGCTTTTAAATGAAATGGCTATGAAAATTTTAAAAGACGTAATACTTTCGTACATAAATAATATTTAAATAAATAACGTATTAAATACAACATTAACTGTCTTCAATTTTTAGAGATATCTATGTATATCGATAAGCAAATTCGTTTTAAAACAAAATTAATTTCTCAATAATATAAAAAAGTCTCCTGAGATTTGATTTTTTTTTTTTTTTCCCTTCCAAAGGTTTCCTCCTGGAGTTGGTGGATTGTAAAATTTATCTCTTGAAATGCATAGAACTTTAAATTAACCTAAGTCCACTCTTCGTAGCCTTAAACAATTTATTCTCCTTAAACCATTTCAACATTGAGTAAATGTTCAGCCAAGATAATTTATGATTTCAAAGTAATTAACAGTGTAGCGACTGACACCTTACATTTGCACCATGACAGCAAGCGCCGGTCTTTCATAAAATTAAGCATAATTTTGAAAATAAGTTTTTTGCTGTTTGCCCACGATATTCGTTTCTAGAATTAATTCCTAAAAATAATTAACTCACATGTCAAAAGTTAAATCGTCGCCAAATGACTCAGCCAGTGTCAATAATACCTATCAACTGAAGCTCAGGCAGGATACATGACGGCATGCTTCCATGACATATCCACTATATAACTATATGCCTGTTAGTTAAATTATCCACTTGCTCGCGTCACCGTGATTGAGTAATAAATAACCAAAGTCTATTTCTTATCCATATGACATTTTAAGTAAATATCAGACAATGGTTCAATTTTTCAGATTATTAAAATACACCATGGCTTTAATAAGCCTTAAAATGAGAGAATAAATACAGTAGAAGTTCCATTTACGTTCGCAGCTTGCCAACTGAAACAGGAGAATATAGTTAAAACCATTAGTACCAAAAGGATCTAACCCTTAAACTTTTCCGAAAGAATTTCCATTTCTGTTAAGGTTTTATCAGTCTTTGAAAAGCTTACGAAAATATTCACGTACGAAAACTGCAGATTTGATAACAGTAGCAATTCATTCTGATCGCCAGGTATCATAGAAGATGAAAAAAGACTTTAACTGCAAGAAATTTTAATAGATATATTAAACGAAACGAATGTTATCCAAAATATTACTATATACAAATAAATTTATAAATAAAACTGAAGCATAAAAATTAAACGTTTGTGATATTTCATTATTTTAAGAAAAATTCGTTTGGTTGGATGCAAAATTAAATATGATTTGCATCGGCTCGTTTAAGAGTTTCTAAAATTCACATTTAATTTCTTACCCCCTGATCTGATAATTAAAAATCTTGGTCAGAAAAATCAACTTAATTCTTGGTAAATTCAATGGTTAACGTAATTCCTGTTATCAGAGTCAAATCACTTTATTCAAAAACAATTTTGCACAATAAACAGCTATTCAGTTGCTAACATTTTAATATTATCCCTTATGAAGAAGAATAAAGGCCTATAAATTTGTCTTCGGTTTTCTACAAATTCATTGATCATAATACAAAAAAGGACAAATGTGAAATTTTTAAAAATTTTCTATTTTCCAAATGGGTTAGTCTCATCCTTATTCTTTCCGATACTTATAGTGATAGCACTGCTCTTCCCAACGACAAAAGAGAAAAAAAAAATTTTTTTATTGCTAAATACCTTAAAAAGTCTATAGATTCGTAATCATGGTAGTTCATCCCGGGTTCAAACCCAGGCGAACGGACTGGCTGCTTAGTTGGTTTTTGTGGTTTTCCTCATGTGTAAGGTGAATGCAAGCCAATTTCTCTAAGAAAGTTCTTCATGAAGGCAGATAGTCCTTGTGCGCTTTACTATTACATTCTAATAACTTAATACAACAGACGTCTTTAGCATTTTTGCGTTTGGTCCAGACCCTATACATCGCAGCTGACCAGAATCACAACATCAGTGTTATGGTTGCCAAAATCTTGGAGATGATCGGGAAGTTGGGACAGTTTCCATGACAAACCCCATACATAGAAGGAAAAATCACGTGGCATGGGATTAACCTCTTCATCCTCTACGATTTGTATATACCACTCATACGATACATTTTCATTGAGATATTCTAGCAAACGTTTTTCGATAATAGCGTTTCTTTATATATATAAGCGGCTAAAGTGTGTGTCGCCGATAGTTTATCGTTGCCACTCGAAAAAATGAGTGCGCAAATTAACGTTTCCGCAGTTTTAAATTAATATCTCGACCGACTAAAGTCGTACGAAGATGACAACGGTATCGATGGATTCGGAAAATTTTTTGGAATCCGAGGATACGCGTCTCGGATTTCAACTCGGCGCCGTTCGGTATTTATTCGAAAAAAAAGAATTTGGCACGTATCCAAATTCCTCTAACAGGGAAATCCCAAGAAAGAAAGTGCAAAATCTAGGGAAAACGTAGGGAAAAATTAGTTTTTAATTAATAACTTGGCTAATTAAAGTCCCAGGAAGACGCGAATGGTCAAAATGGCGTGCCATGGACCTGCGAAATGCAATGGTGTGCTTCGCTAAGCCCGGGAGCCAGCTGTTTCGGAGGAGATGATGTTACTTCCCCCCATATATATATATATGCGGCTTAAGTGTCTGTTTGTCGCCGATAGTTTATTGGTTGCTTATGTAACTGTACTAGCCAATAGGGTGAAGCTGCCACGGCACAGCGTTGCCGTTTCAATTGAGACGTAGACAATTTCCTGTAAAACTTGTCTTTGCTATGACCATCAATAAGTCTCAGGGACAAAGGCTTAAGCGTGTTGGCATTTTTTTACCTGAACCTGCATTTGGACACAGTCAACTTTATGTTGCCTGTTCAAGAGTTCGTGAAAGAATGGAAGTAAAATTAAAAATAATGGATGGTTCTCTGCAAGGCGAGCTTAAAAACGATGGAAAGATCTACGCAAGAAATGTTGTGCACGAAGAGATCTTTGGCATGTGAATTAACATTTTATTATTTAAATCACCTTTGTTTATTGAGCTAGCGGTGGCTCTTAAGAAATGTACCGCCAGTGGTTTCCTTCATTACACTCTACTTTAAGAAGTTAAGCAAGTACGAGGGGAAAACCCCGTGGGGCAGTAAGCAAAGGGTCGTCCTCGCCCCCTGCCCTGGATATTTAAGTTTGAATTAGCAGACACCTTTGCACAAATCATTTTAATTACAATTTATAATATCTAGAACAGCGGTCATTTCGTATGACCGCCGGGCTTTCTAATATGATAATAAGCGGGTCAGATGTCTCGCTCAGAAAGGTTATCTCAACTGTTTTAGTTTTTAATTATTTTTAATTAACTGTGTGAATTATTCAGCTTTCCAATTATTTTCACTGCAGTAAAATTTAATATCGGTTTCCTAATCTATTTACCATGCATTTTTAAAGCGTTTCAAGATCTAACGAATAACCTCGCAGATATTTTTGAGCATTTTTTACTTCCTTGTATGTACGAAGTAAAGGAAGTACTGTAATTACGAAAAATTCCGGGTACCATATTTCCACGAAAATATCCATTTTGAGTGCTATCGAATACAATGTAACGATGTTTTTGCGTGATATCTGTACGTAAGGACAGAATAAAGGACTCTTTTTATCCAAACGAATTATAAAACCGATTTAAAATGGATTCAGAAGAGATTTTTTTTCGTGGCGTCTGTACATACATACGTATGTATCGCAACAGAAATAGGAACGGAACAAAAAGGAAAGCTTCAGAGCGTTGAAATTTTGTATGCGAGATTGCTATAACCCGTATATGTGCACCTCCCGTTTTGATGGCAATCGGTCCCACCAAAAGTATATAAATAAATACATATATCCATTTTGATACTCGGCTCCTGTAAACTCAGTTTTTTTATTCTTATATGTTGGTAAATTTTGCATTTTTTGCTTTTCCTAACTTTTTTTTACCATAGCAGCCATATTTGTTTACATTTGAAACTTAGAAGAATAGTGGATTTGTTGCTTTTCTGGACAAACTAAGCTTCGCAACAACAAAGATAACGTGTTCTTTTATTATTGCAAATTAAATCGTGCTTAATACAGTCTGGAATTATGATTTAAATTATTAAATTATCCCATATATTGACACAGCATAGCGTCCACAACAAATTTAGTTTGTACGCCTTCAGTGCTTTTTTGCCGAGTGAGACCAAAAGTAAACTTTCAGTTTTGTACACCGAAAAATCTGTCTTCTTGCCCACTGGCCAAATTGCTTGTTTTTGCGCAGAAACACTAATTTTAATTGTAAATTTTTAAAATTGTTTTAAATGTATTTGGTGCTTTATGTTTTTCTATATCTTTCAATTTTTAATGAAGATATTCAGATTTTAAGTATTTTTGTCCTACCGCAAAGTGAGAACTCGATTAATTGAAAGAGAAATTTATCTTTAAAGAAATTTGAAAAAATAAGTGTTTCCTATTGGCAGCAAATAGTGTCACCAGTTTGACTCGGACAGAGGAGAATGTTTACGAGTAGTGCATGCGCATTAGGTAGGCGGTGCTGAATCGTCTGTGAAAATCTGTTTCTTTTTTATTTAATTTCTTTTATACATCGTGTTAGATTTATTATAGTATTTGAATAGAACATGTGGCAACGACTACATAATTCTTGAGGTGATATAATTTTTATGCATTCTGAGTTATAATATGAATGAAATGCAAAGTTGCTAAGTAAACCTAACGCCATAGTGTCGCTATAGTAAATAAATATAGTGAATTTTAAAGAGTGCATTTATTCTATTATGGTTTATGCGCTATCGATGAAGTAGAATTCAATAAGTTTAAATGAAATGCAGGAAAACGCAGATAATTTAATATTCCGTACAAAGAAGTCGTGGTGTACACATCAGATTTTTTTATTTGTTTGTTTCGTGCTCCGCGTAAAGTAATCCACGGGGCATGCCCCGTGGATTACTTTTTAAGGAAACTGCTCAGTATCCACGTTACACATGAGGGAAAACTATGAAAACGCTCATGTAGACAGTCCGTTCGCCGAGATTCGAACTTTGGATCGAATTACCAACGTTCAAGACTTTTACCGCTCGGCCATCGTCAAGCATTTAAAATACAGCATATCAAAATCTGATATGAGGAATTTAACAAAATTTTAATACAGTACTGACTACTGGAATGGCAAAATACAGAGTAGAATTTTACATCTCGAACATTCTATTGGTATAACGTTAGATGCGTTATTTGACAAATTAGATTTAAGAAATCACATAATATTTCACAAATGTGAAAATAATTAACGATGAGTATTACCGACATTTTACATATGAATTGTGAAATGTGTAATTACCATATAAACTGAAACATGCACAATAGAAATTATGTTTTTCTTCACAGGTCAAAACCAACAAGGTTATGGAATCGACGTATCTGGAAATATTGCTCAGAACTGGAACATGAACCTCAATCAGCAAGCTCAACAAGGAATTTCAGGAACTCAAAATGCATTAAACATATACGGACTTTCATCAATAAATACTCCGCAATATTTTACAGATGTGTTAACAAGAAAACTACAAGCTACGAGAGTATTCGAAACCATAGCTAAAACACAACTGTCACAGAAAGATTGGTGGTTTATGTCAGAATCAATTTGCAGAAATCTTGGCAACAAATTCAGAATCCCAATAAATAACTCGATAATGAATCAGCTATATCAAAGACTCATGAAAGGAGCACAATCAAACGAGTTGCCATCACTTTTCTCAGCGGCAATATCTAGCATTCTAGGGGAAAATATTCTGCAGACACAAGGACTCTTGAACATCAATCTCGATTCATTGATCACGCAAACTATAGAAGGTATATTGCGAGGATTAGGACAAGCACTTAATATTAATATAGATATAAAAAAAGCTTTAGATTTAGCTGCTCAAGTGAAAGTAGATGCTGGAGTTGGTCTTAACGCAAATGCTGAAGCTGCTGTTGGCGCAGATATTAGAGCTGCTCTAGGCGCAGACGTTGGAGTTGGTCTTGGCTCAGATGTCGGACTTGGTTTGGATGCAAGTGTAGGGCTCGATGCAAACACAAACATCGATACAGGCGCAAATGCTGATATCAGTACAAATCTAGGTCTTGGATTTTCACCCTCTGCAGATGTGGGACTCGGAGTAGGATTCAATGCTCCTAACATCGGTTTGAAATTTAAAAATCTACTTGGACTGAAACTAAAGGCAACAGGAGTACTTGACATTCTAGCCTCAAAGAAACCCTCCAAATCTGATATTGCTATTATTTCAAAATTAATCTGTAGGTTTCTAGCAAACAAATTCCAGATTCAACTGAATGTATCTATGATAAAATTACTCTATGGCTCGCTGATTAAACTTAATGCTAGAGCTAGGCCAGATGATTTTGGGAAAGTGCTAGCAGCAGTGATAATGAATATTCTACAGTCACAAGGACTCCTGAACGTTAATCTCAACACTTTATTAACTCAGGCAACAGAGTGCATATTATTAGGTCTATCGCAAGCACTTAATATAAATATAGATATCAAAAAAGCCTTAGACTTAGCTAGCCAAGTTAAAGTAGATATCGGAATAGGTGCAAATACAGATATTAGTCGGAACCTTGGAGCAGATGCTGGAGTTGGTGTGGGCGCAGATGTTGCTGTTGGTCTTGGCACAGATGTTGATCTTGGTTTTGGGGCTGATGTTGGTACAAGTCTCGATGCGAGTCTAGGTACTGACGCAAATGCAAAACTTGGCGTACAGGTTGGAGCAAATCTCGACGCTGGTGAAAATGCTGATCTCAATGCGAAACTAGATCTTGGTCTGTTAAAATCTGCTGGTAAAGGAATCGAAGTTGGATTGAACGTTCCTAACCTCGGTTTAAAACTTACGAATCTGCTTGCGCTGAAACTAAAAGCAACAGGAGTATTTAATGTTCTAGCAAAAAAGACGCCATCGCAATCTGATATTCTTAACATTTCAAAACTAATCAGCAGGCTTCTCGGAAATAAATTCCAGATCCAACTCAATGTATCAATGATAAAATTATTCTACGGCTCGCTGATTAAACTTAATGGTAGGATTAAACCTGAAGATTTCGCAAATGTGCTTGCAGCAACCACGATGAATATTCTTCAGTCGCAGGGACTTTTGAAAATCAATCTTGACTCATTACTAACGCAGGCTACAGAATGCATATTACAAGGTTTTGCTAAAGCACTTAACATAAACATAAATATCAAAAATGCCCTAGATTTAGCTGCTCAGGTTCAAGTAGATATTGGAGTAGGTGTGGATGCTGATGCAGGAGTAGGACTTGGTACAGATATTGGAGTTGGTCTTGGCGCAGGTGTCGGAAATGGTCTTGGTAGTGACGTCGGCTTTGGTATGGGCAAAGGCATTGGAGTTGGACTAAACGCAAGTGTAGGAGTTGATACAAATCTTGGTTTGGGCTTTTCCCCATCTACTGGGATAGGACTGCAGGCTGGACTGAATGTTCCTGACCTCGGTTTAAAACTTACAAATCTTCTCGGGCTGAAATTAAAAGCAACAGGGGTGCTTAACATTCTAGCAACAAAGACACCATCCAGGTCTGATATCGTGAATATTTCAAAATCTGTTTCCAAACTTCTTGCAAACAAATTCCAGATTCAGTTTAATGGATCTCTCATAAAATTATTCTACAACTCTCTCATTAAACTTGACGCTATGCGTAAGCCCGATGGCTTTGCAAATGTGCTTGCAGCAGTAACAATTAATATTTTGCAGTCACAGGGGTTCCTGAATATCAATCTTGACCCATTGCTAACCCAAGCTACAGAATGCATACTACTAGGATTAGGAGAAGCACTTAATATCAGTGTAGATATCAAAAAGGCACTAGATTTAGCTGCTCAGGTGAAGGTGGATGTTGGCGCAGGTGTAGAAGCAGACATTGGAGCTAGTCTTGCAGCAGATGTTGGAGTTGGTGCTGATCTTGGAACTGGGCTCGATGTAGGAGTAGGAGTTGACGCAAATACAAATGTTGGCATTCAGGCAGGGGCAAACATTGATGCAGGTGCAAATGCTGATGTCAATGCAAATCTAGGCTTAGGTCTTTCGCCATCAACTGTGGCAAGACTAGGAGTTGGACTGAATGCTCCTGACCTCGGTTTAAAACTTAAAAATCTACTCATATTGAAACTAAAAGCTACAGGAGTGCTTAACATATTAGCAACAAAGCCTCCATCAAGATCTGATATCATAAATATATCAAAATCAATCTGTAGGCTTCTAGCGAATACATTTCGGATTAAACTTCATGTATCAATGATAAAACTGCTTTATGGCTCACTCGCTAAACTTGATACAACAGCTAAGTCTGATGATTTCGCAAATGTGCTCGCAGCAGTCACGATAAATATTTTGCAGTCACAGGGACTCCTGAACATCAATCTTGATACATTATTATCACAAGCTATAGAATGCATATTACTAGGATTAGGACAAGCACTTAATATTAATATTGATATAAAAAATGCACTCGATTTAGCTGCAAAAGTGAAAGTAGATGCTGGAGCAGGTGTGGACATAAATGTTGGAGTTGGTCTTGGCGCAGATATTGAGGCTGGGGTTGGTCTTGGTGCAGACACTGGAATTGGCCTAGATGCGGGTGTAGGAGTTGATGCAAATGCAAATCTTGGTGTTCAAGCTGGAGCAAATCTCGACACAAATCTAGGTTTAGGGTTGTCCCCGTCTGCCGATATAGGACTAGGAATCGGACTAGATGTCCCTAATCTCATTTTAAAACTTAGAAATATTCTTTCTCTGAAAATAAAAGCAACAGGTGTACTTAATATTCTAGCAACAAAGACGCTATCTAAATCTGACTTCGTGAACATTTCGAAATCAATCTGCAGACTCCTAGCAAACAAATTCCAGATCCAACTCAATGTGTCAACGATAAAATTATTCTATGGCTCGCTGATTAAACTCAATGGTAGAGCTGCGCCCAATGATTTCGCGAATGTGCTCGCAGAAGTTACGATGAATATTTTGCAGTCACAGGGACTCCTAAATATCAATATTGATTCATTACTAGCTCAGGCTACAGAATGCATATTACTAGGGTTCGGACAAGCACTTAATATCAGTGTAGATATAAAAAATGCTCTAGATTTAGCTGCACAAGTGAAAGTAGATGTTGGAGCAGGTGTAGAAGCAGACATCGGAGCTAGTCTTGCAGCAGATGCTGGAGTTGGTGCTGATCTTGGAACTGGGCTCGATGTAGGAGTAGGAGTTGACGCAAATACAAATCTTGGCATTCAGGCAGCGGCAAACATTGATGCAGGTGCAAATGTTGATGTCAATGCAAATCTAGGCTTAGGTCTTTCACCATCAACTGGGGCAAGACTAGGAGTTGGACTGAATGTTCCTGACCTCAGTTTAAAACTTAAAAATCTACTCGTATTGAAACTAAAAGCTACAGGAGTGCTTAACATATTAGCAACAAAGCCTCCATCAAGATCTGATATCGTGAATATCTCAAAATCAATCAGCAGGCTTCTAGCGAATAAATTTCATATTAAACTTGATGTATCTATGATAAAACTACTTTATGGCTCACTCGCTAAACTTGATACAACAGCTAAGTCTGATGATTTCGCAAATGTGCTCACAGCAGTCACGATAAATATTTTGCAGTCACAGGGACTCCTGAACATCAATCTTGATACATTATTATCACAAGCTATAGAATGCATATTACTAGGATTAGGACAAGCACTTAATATTAATATTGATATAAAAAATGCACTCGATTTAGCTGCAAAAGTAAAAGTAGATGCTGGAGCAGGTGTGGACGTTAATGCTGAAGTTGGTCTTGGCGCAGATATTGAGGCTGGGGTTGGTCTTGGTGCAGACGCTGGAATTGGCCTAGATGCAGGTGTAGGAGTTGATGCAAATGCAAATCTTGGTGTTCAAGCTGGAGCAAATCTCGACACAAATCTAGGTTTAGGGTTGTCCCCGTCTGCCGATATAGGACTAGGAATCGGACTAGATGTCCCTAATCTCATTTTAAAATTTAGAAATATTCTTTCTCTGAAAATAAAAGCAACAGGTGTACTTAATATTCTAGCAACAAAGACGTTATCTAAATCTGACTTCGTGAACATTTCGAAATCAATCTGCAGACTCCTAGCAAACAAATTCCAGATCCAACTCAATGTGTCATCGATAAAATTATTCTATGGCTCGCTGATTAAACTCAATGGTAGAGCTGCGCCCGATGATTTCGCGAATGTGCTCGCAGAAGTTACGATGAATATTTTGCAGTCACAGGGACTCCTAAATATCAATATTGATTCATTACTAGCTCAGGCTACAGAATGCATATTACTAGGGTTCGGACAAGCACTTAATATCAGTGTAGATATAAAAAATGCTCTAGATTTAGCTGCACAAGTGAAAGTAGATGTTGGAGCAGGTGTAGAAGCAGACATCGGAGCTAGTCTTGCAGCAGATGCTGGAGTTGGTGCTGATCTTGGAACTGGGCTCGATGTAGGAGTAGGAGTTGACGCAAATACAAATCTTGGCATTCAGGCAGCGGCAAACATTGATGCAGGTGCAAATGTTGATGTCAATGCAAATCTAGGCTTAGGTCTTTCACCATCAACTGGGGCAAGACTAGGAGTTGGACTGAATGTTCCTGACCTCAGTTTAAAACTTAAAAATCTACTCGTATTGAAACTAAAAGCTACAGGAGTGCTTAACATATTAGCAACAAAGCCTCCATCAAGATCTGATATCGTGAATATCTCAAAATCAATCTGCAGGCTTCTAGCGAATAAATTTCAGATTAAACTTGATGTATCTATGATAAAACTACTTTATGGCTCACTCGCTAAACTTGATACAACAGCTAAGTCTGATGATTTCGCAAATGTGCTCACAGCAGTCACGATAAATATTTTGCAGTCACAGGGACTCCTGAACATCAATCTTGATACATTATTATCACAAGCTATAGAATGCATATTACTAGGATTAGGACAAGCACTTAATATTAATATTGATATAAAAAATGCACTCGATTTAGCTGCAAAAGTAAAAGTAGATGCTGGAGCAGGTGTGGACGTTAATGCTGGAGTTGGTTTTGGCGCAGATATTGAGGCTGGGCTTGATCTTGGTGCAGACGCTGGAATTGGTATAGATGCAGATGTAGGAGTTGATGCAAATGCGAATCTTGGTATTCAGGCTGGAGCTGATGTCGGTACAAGTGCAGACTTTGATGTCAACGCAAATTTAGGTGTCGGTCTCAAACCATCTCCTGGTGTAAGGCTGGGAGCTGGAATTAATGTTCCGGATCTTAGTTTAAAACTTAAAAATCTGCTCTCATTGAAATGGAAAGCCACAGGAGCACTTAATGTCTTAGAAACAAAAAAGCTATCAAAATCTGATATCGTGAACATTTCGAAATTAATATGCCGGCTTCTTGCTAGCAAATTCCAGGTTCAACTTAATGTATCTACGATAAAAATACTCTATGTATCTCTGATCAAACTTAATGCCAAAGCTACGCCTGATGATTTTGCAAATGTACTTGGGACAGTAACAATTAATATTCTGCAATCACAGGGACTGCTGGACATAAATCTCGACACAGTACTAACTCAGGCAATAGAATGTATACTACTAGGGTTTGGAAAAGCACTTAATATAAATATAGATATAAAAAAAGCTTTAGATTTAGCTGCTCAAGTGAAAGTAGATATTGGTGCAGATGTAAATGCAGACGCCGGAGTTGGTGCAGACATCGGGTTGGGTCTTGGAACTGATATTGGGCTTGGTGTTGCCGCTGATACTGAACTTGGTCTTGATGCAAATGCAGGAGTTGAAGCTAACGTAGATCTTGGTGTTCAGGTAGGAGCAAAAGTTGATGCAGATGTAAATGCTGATGTCAATTCGGACCTTGGTTTAGGTCTTTCACCATCTACTGGTGTAGGACTGGGAGTCGGAGTGAATGCTCCTAAAGTCAGTTTAAAACTTCAAAATCTTCTCGCATTGAAACTAAAAGCAACAGGAGTACTTAACATTCTGGCAACAAAGAGATCATCCAGATCTGATATCATAAACATTTCAAAATCGATCTGCAGGCTTCTGGCGAACAAATTTCAAATTAAACTTAATGTACCTATGATTAAATTAGTCTACGATTCACTCGCTAAACTTGATGCAAGAGCTAAGCCCGATGATTTCGCAAATGTCCTCGCAGCAGTCACGATGAATATTTTGCAGTCACAGGGACGTCTAAACATCAATCTTAATTCACTATTAACGCAAGCTACAGAATGCATATTAATAGGATTAGGACAAGCGCTTGGTATTAATTTTGATATCCAAAATGCTCTAGATTTAGCTGCAAAAGTAAAAGTAGATGCTGCAATAGGTGTGGACACAGATCTTGGAGTTGGTCTTGGTGCAGATGGTGGGGTTGCGGTTGATCTTAGTGCAGATGTTGGAGTTGGCGCAGATGCTGGATTTGGTCTAGATACAAGTGTAGCGGTTGATGCAAATACGAATCTTGGTATTCTTGCTGGATCAGATATCGATACAGGTACAAATGCTGATATCAACGCAAATCTAGGTGTTGGTTTATCACCATCTGCTGACGTAGGGTTGAGAATTGGAACGAAAGTCCCAGATCTTGGTTTAAAACTTAAAAATCTCCTTGCACTAAAATTGAAAGCAACAGGAGTGCTCAATATCTTAGGAACAAAAAGGCCATCAAAGTCTGATATCGTGAACATTTCAAAACTAATATGCAGGCTTCTTGCAAACAAATTCAGGATTCAAATTAATGTACCTATGATAAAACTACTGTACGGATCTCTCATCAAACTTAATGTCAGAGCTACACCAGAGGATTTCGCAAATGTACTTGCAACAGTAACAATAAATATTTTGCAATCACAGGGACTCTTGGATATAAATTTCGATACATTACTAACTCAGTCAACAGAATGTATACTACTAGGGGTTGGACAAGCACTTAACATAAATTTAGACATAAAAAAAGCTTTAGATTTAGCTGCTCAAGTGAAAGTAGATATTGATGCTGATGTTAATGCAGATGCTGGAGTTGGTACAGATGTCGGGTTGGATATTGGAGCTGATATTGGGCTTGGCGTTGGTGCTGACACTGGAGTTAGTCTTGATGCAAATGCAGGAGCTGACTCTAATGCAAATCTTGGTGCTCAGGCAGGAGCAAAGGTAGATGCAGATGTAAATACTGATATCAATGCAGACCTCGGTTCAGGTCTTTCACCATCAACTGGAGCAAGACTAGGAGTTGGACTGAATGTTCCTGACCTCGGTTTAAAACTTAAAAATCTACTCGTATGGAAACTAAAAGCTGCAGGGGGGTTAACATATTCGCCACAAAAGCCCATCAAGATCAGATATCTTGAATATTCAAAAATCAATCTGAAAGCTTCTAGCGGAATAAATTCAGATAAACTTGATGTATTATGATAAAACTACTTATGGCTCACTCGCAACGATACAACAGTAAGTCTGATGACTTCGCAAATGTGCTGCAGCAGCACGATAAATATTTTGCAGTCACAGGGATCTGAAATCAATCTTGTTCTTATTATCACAAGCATAGAATGCATATTATAGGATTAGGACAAGCACTTAATATTAATATTGATATAAAAAATGCACTCAATTTAGCTGCAAAAGTGAAAATAGATGCTGGAGCAGGTGTGGACATAAATGTTGGAGTTGGTCTTGGCGTAGATATTGAGGCTGGGGTTGGTCTTGGTGCAAACGCTGGAATTGGCTTAGATGCAGGTGTAGGAGTTGATGCAAATGCAAATCTTGGTGTTCAAACTGGAGCAAATCTCGATGCAAATCTAGGTTTAGGGTTGTCCCCGTCTGCTGATATAGGACTAGGAATCGGACTAGATGTCCCTAATTTTATTTTAAAACTCAGAAATATTCTTTCACTGAAATTAAAAGCAACCGGTGTACTTAATATTCTAGCTACAAAGATGCTATCTAAATCTGACTTCGTGAACATTTCGAAAGCAATCTGCAGACTCCTAGCAAACAAATTCCAGATCCAACTCAATGTGTCAACGATAAAATTATTCTATGGCTCGCTGATTAAACTCAATGGTAGAGCTGCACCCGATGATTCGCGAATGGCTGCAGAAGTTACGATGAATATTTGCAGACAGGGACTCCTAAATATCAATATTGATTCATATTAGCAGGCTACAGACTGCATATACTAGGGTTCGGACAAAGCACTTAAATATCAGTGTAGATATAAAAAATGCTCTAGATTTAGCTGCACAAGTGAAAGTAGATGTTGCAGCAGGTGTAGAAGCAGACATTGGAGCTAGTATTGCAGCAGATGTTGGAGTTGGTGCTGATCTCGGAGCTGGGCTCGATGTAGGAGTAGGAGTTGATGCAAATACAAATCTTGATGTTCAGGCAGGAGCAAAAGTCGATGTAGATGCTGATGTTAATACAAATCTAGGTCTTGGTGTCTCACCATCTGCTGATGTATTAGGAGCTGGACTGAAAGTTCCAGATCTCAGTTTAAAACTTAAAAATCTGCTTGCACTGAAACTAAAAGCAACAGGAGTGCTTAATATTCTAGTTCAAAACCCACCATCTAAATCTGATATCGTAAATATTTCAAAATTAATCAGCAGGCTTCTAGCAAACAGATTCCAGATCCATCTAACTACATCTATCATAAAACAACTTTATGGATCCCTTATTAAACTCAACTCCAGAGTCAAGCCTGATGATTTGGCTAATATGCTGTCAGCAGTGACAATGAACATTCTGCAGTCACAGGGACTCCTGAACATCAGTCTTGACACATTACTAACACAAGCTACAGAATGCATAATACTAGGCCTTAAACAAGCACTTAACATAAATGTAGATATAAAAAAAGCCCTAGATTTAGCTGCTCAAGTAAAAGCAGATATTGATGTAGGAGTGGAGGCAGATGTTGGTGTTGATCTCGATGCAGGAATAGGAGTAGGTGTAAGTGCAGGTATTGATGTTAACGCTGGAGCAAATGTTGATGCAGGCGCAAATACTGATGTTAGTGCAAATCTGGGTTTGGGCGTCTCATCATCTGCTGATGTAGAAGTGGAAGCTGGATTGAATATTCCTAATCTGGGATTAAAACTCAGAAATATTCTAACCCAGAAACTAAAAGCAACGGGAGTGCTTAATACTCTAACAAAGACACCATCAAAATCTGATATTGTAAACATTTCAAAATTAATCTGCAGGCTTCTGGCAAGCAAATTCCAGATTCAACTTAATACATCCATGATAAAACTATTTTATGGATCACTCATTGCACTAAATGCCAGAGCTAAGCCTGATGATTTCGCTGCTGTGTTTGCAACAGTGACAATAAACATTCTGCAATCACAGGGACTTCTAAACAAAAATCTTGACTTATTACTAAGCCAAGCTACAGAATGTATATTACTAGGCCTCAAACAAGCACTTAATATCAATGTAGATATCAAAACAGCTGCAGATTTAGCTGCTCAAGTTAAACTAGATGTTGGAGCAGATATTGATGCAGATCTTGGAGTTGGTCTTGGTGCAGATATTGGAGTTGGTCTTACAACAGATGCTGGAATTGGGATTGGGGCAGATTTAGGAACTGGTCTGGATGCAGGTGTAGGAGTTGATGCAAGTGCGAATCTTGGTGTTCAGGCAGGTGCAGATGCCGATGTTAATGCAAATTTAGGTCTGTCACCATCCACTGAAGAAGGTCTAGAAGTTGGACTGAATGTTCCCAAGCTAAGTTTAAAACTTAGAAAACTGCTTGCACTGAAATTAAAAGCAACCGGAGTTCTTAACATTCTAGCAACAAAGAGACCATCCAAAACTGATATTATTAACATATCAAAACAAATTAGTAAACTTCTAGCAAATAAATTTCAGATTCAACTTAATACATCTATGATAAAACTACTTTACAGTTCGCTGATTAAACTGAATGCTAGAACTAAGCCTGATGATTTTGGAAATATACTTGCTGCAGGGACAGTGAGTATTCTTGAGTCACAGGGACTTTCGAACATCAATCTTGACTCATTACTAACCCCAACTCTAGAATGCATATTGCAAGGTCTAGGACAAGCACTTAGGATCAATATAGATATCAAAAAGGCCCTAGATTTAGCTGCTCAATTGAGAACAGATGTCGGAGTAGGTTTGGATGCAGATGCTAGTATCGGTCTCGGCGCAGATCTTGGTCTTACAACAGACATCGGAGTTGGTCTCGATGCAGATATAAATGGAAATCTTGGTGTTCAGGCTGGAGCAAATGTTGATGCAGGTGCTGACATCAATGCAAATCTAAGTCTCGGTCTCTTACCCTCTGCTAATGTAGGTCTAGGAGCTGGATTGAATGCTCCTAATCTCAGTTTAAAACTTAGAAATCTGCTTGCACTGAAACTAAAGGCAACAGGAGTACTTAATGTTCTGGCAACAAGGAGATTGTCCAAATCTGATACTGTGAACATTTCAAAGTTAATCTGCAGTCTTCTGGCAAAAACGTTCCAGATTCAACTGAATGCATCTATGGTAAAACTAGTTTATGGCTCACTCATTAAACTTAATGGCAGACCTAAACCTGATGATTTTGCAAACGTGCTCTCAGCAGTAATAATAAATATTTTACAGTCACAAGGACTTTTGAGAAACAATCTGAACTCTTTATTAATACAAGCTACAGAATGCATATTGTTAGGTCTTGGAAAAGCTCTTAATATCAATATAGATATCAAAAAAGCCCTAGATTTATCTGCTCAAGTGAAAGTTGATGTTGGAGTAGCTGTGGATACAGATGTTGAAGTAGGTGCGGATACAAATGTTGGACTTGATCTTGGTACAGATGTTGGAGTTGATCTCAACACAAATGTTGGTCTTAGCACAGATATTGGAGTTGGTCTTGGTGCAGGTGCAGGCTTTGATGCAAATGCAAATGTGGGTGTTCAAGCAGCTGCAGATATTAGTGCTGATACTGGAGTTGGTATAAACGTGGACTCTAAACTTCTAAATGTGGATGCAAAGTTTAAGGCAGATGTAAAAGCTGAAGCAGCAGAACAACTTGCAGATGCATTAAAATCATCAGAGGAGTTTAAGTTGGCAATTTTGATGGGTCAAGAAGAAACAGTATTATCCGCTATAGGGAATGTCATAAATGACATATTTGGCAGGAAAGCAGGAATAAGCTTTTTATCTAAATTCAATATGTCCCTTGATTAATAAGTGTATAAAAAAGTGTATAACCGGTATTAAATTATAATTATGAAAATGTATGTGTCTTCTTCAGATGTATGTGTTCTTCTTCAGATAAGTCATATATATATTATATAGCTTTCATTGTGACTGATGGATAGCTATTTAATTCAATAGTCTAAGTAGAAACAAAGTTCAGATATATTTAAATGTCATGATTTTCATTTCTTAATACTTAGTTACCAAATCAGATCCACAATTTTTAAATATGTATGATGAGGAGGTTAATTTATTAAAATATTAATATGCATGTAATAAAACATGAATGACAAAGAAGTACTATATTTTGCTAATGCATAAAAATAAATACCTCAATTGTGAATAAAATGTTTTGTACACCAAGTTAGGATGATACTGATCCAACTTTTCAAATCACAGAATTTAAATGGCCATAATACTTTTACAAAAAATAAAAATTTTAAGATATGTGTAAGTTTAATTGAAAAAACTTGAGCCTCTTTCAGTTCAGACACTGATTCTGAATTATATATCTTTCTCACAGACTTACCCATCCCAATAAGTTGAAATACACAAAATATTGATCAAAGTGAGTCCAGATGCTTTCAGTCAAAATGAATTCACCTTAATATGAGTAAACCAAGACTTAACTGAAAATAGAAATTACAAAACCTACTACTTACTTTCATTTTTTTTTTTTTTTTTCAAACTGAATATTTCATATTCTAGGAAGAAGTTGCTTAAATTTTGTACAATACTGTCAACAGAAGAAAAAAAAAATATTTAATAGGTAAAAAAAAAATCATTTTTAGAAATTTTAAAACATTAAGTTCATAAATAACATTAGAAATATTTTAATTCTGAAATTTCAGAAATTATTCTACTTAAAATCTGTTTTGGATATTGAAACTTTCTTCCTATACTTTATCATTCATGCAATACAGAATCTTGGATGTTTTCAGAATTTACTTATATGCAGCTTACAGCTTACTCATTTTTCAAAAGTTTTGGAACAATAGCAGGAAATTCCAAATTATAAAATACTATTTAGAACTGCATACATTCTAGAGATTCAGTATCAATGTTTTAATCAATATAGCTAGTGAATTTAGCTTAAATTAACCACAGAAATTGTTCTTAAATTTTTTAGCTTTTTCCTTCCCCTTTGATACTGAAGTAGGTTATAATAATAAATTTAAATTCGTATTCACTGGCAAGAAACAGAATTCTATTAACTTAATAACATGGTTAACAAAAAATTCTTTCTCACAGGTAAGTTTACAATCAGATTACTTTCCTTACACCTGCTAAATTCAGCTTTTAATTTATTTTTTAAACTATTGTAAGGTATACCACATGTAAGCTTAGCCATTTGTTGACACAATTACCACTCCTAAGCACTTGAAAGCACAGTTGAAAAATTTCTGCCATATTAATTTGTATACCATTGATTCATAATCTTTTTCTAGTATTCCTTAGCATTCCTTACAAAAATCGTCAAATCTGTGAAAAAAATGTATTTAAGAAAAATATGAAATTCAAAAAATAAAATTATAAAAATAATAATAATGTTTTTGTTGCTAAAAGAAATGGTACTGTAATGGGGGGGGAGTTTAAGTGATTTTGGTCCAGGACAACAAGAGTCATAACACTAATACTTGTATCGATCCAAATAAAACTTGAAATATTAAATGCTAAGCACATACTATTATTTTAATTAAAACATGTTTATAACTAACAAATCATTTTTAAAATATTACTTATCTAGGGTTTTTCTACTTTCTGTCCTAAGCTAATGCTTAGAATACAACATTTATCAAAATGGAGAACATAAGAATAAACATGGTCAAGTATAAAACTCATGCAATACTATTTAGTAGTAATACAATAACTATTCAGAAAAAGAGTACTCTTACCTATGCATGAATTTAAAAACTAATTTATATTTATGGAATAAAACCCAATTTTTTTTAAATAAAACTTTAATATAGTTGAGTGTAAGTCTTCCAGTGATGTACCAAAGTGGGGAGAGGCAGCCCAGTCTTCTTATCAGGGGCAAACTCCAAAGAACCATAAAATTTTTAGTATATGTACCCATATACAGGAACATAAAAATGGGACTTTGTACTCGAGGAGGATGATGACGTATAAATGTGCCGTGTTTATGTTTAAAAGTTTATGTTAGAAGTGACGATGCTCTGCTTTTAAAGATATGAGCAGTTTTCTACTCTTCTAGTCATTCCCTCACCCTTCTGAGCAGCTGCACAGGTGATAGATATGGCTCCATGTTCAGAAAGTGAGAGGGTAAGCATGAATCAAAATACTGAAAATGCAGTAGCTAAAGACATTAATTTTGATAAAGCTTTAAAAAAATTTTAAGAAGCCAAAGCTTGCAAAAAATAAATTTAGCTTTTTTTACTGGCAGAAGAGTTAAAAGCACTTAATACTTTAGTTAAAAAAACTTTTTTTAAAACATCAAAAATAGTACATTAATAAGCTCTTTTTTAATATATGTTTGTTTGCTAGATGCAAGTTGTTTTATCCCTATTCTTAACATTTTTTGTTTCCCAAATCATGTTAACTACTTAATTTTAATTAAATAAATATTAATTGCATATTTGGGTTGACATTTTATGTGATGATCGTTTCATTAAGGGGGGGGCCCAGGAATATTTTGCCCTAAGCCTTGAAAGCTGTAATCTGTCATTGAGTCACCCAAAATTACAATATATTACAATATCAATATTACAGTACAATATCATTATCATGAATTTAAATGATATTGTACTGTACATTAAATATTCTAAAAACTAGTAGCTGAATTTTAAAATGCATTTTATTTACAAATAGTAAAGATTCATACACAAATTTCTGAATGACAAATTATTGTACAAAAATATATATCCTTTTTTTATATTTAAACAATTGTTTCAGGTACTCCAGCAAATAATATTTTTAAAGTGCTCTTTACAAATTAAATCATATGCACATATATAAATATACAAATTTTCAATCTTAAATTTATGCATTATAAATTATTTTCCAAGGATGTAATTATAAAAATTAAAATCTGTATAAATTCAGATAATTAAGTAATATAAGATTATTTTTTTTAAATGTTAGAAATACATCAACAAGATTGGAATATTAAATAAAATATTACTTTTCATTTCATTATTTACATACATTTGAGATAATTTGGTAAATACTATGAGAATTTGAAGAATATAATGTAAATGGAATACTCAGAATGAGTTACAAATAAGCTTGGTTCCATTTCCCAGAACACTTACCTAAATATAAATAAAAAAATTAATTTATTTTTTATAGAACTTGTAAAACAGAACAGAGCAAAAAGAAATCCATGGAAAATTCCAAAATACACTCAATTCAATTTTAACAGAATATTTCAATAGTGCATTTAAGTTAATATAGATAGATAGATAGATGTTTCAAAAGAATAAATTGAATTTAAATACAAATTTAATTAACTCTTTGTACCATTGCTGCAAGGAATGAAATTTAAATTTTAACAAACATGTATATATGTAAAAAGCAAATTTAAAGTTAAAATAATTTAAAAATGTGCAAACATATAAAAGATTTAATTTTCGAATTAATCTACGATATCATTTAAATTCAGATAGCATAAGTAAATCAAGTGCAAAATCAAACCATGAAAATAAATTCACCAATTTAGCAAATTAAAATTAATCTAAGAAATTTTTTAACCCTTTGCGGCTCAGTGTTCCACTACATGGAACACACAAATTGAATCGCTTCTGAAACCTTTAAATTCAACCGTAAATAGATAAAAATGCCTTTATAATATACTTTGAACTTTTCTTTTTAAACAGTAGATAGCAGCATATCACAAAGAGACACAGAATTTTCATTTATTATGTGTTATTAAAATCCACTTTTTTTCAAGTAATTTTCTCTATTTTTTTAATGATATAAAAAATTTTATTTGGAATAAAATTTAGGCATAATTTTGCTGGCTGTACTCCAAATTATCTGTTCTATATTTTTTTTTAATCTTTCAGACAAAAACCATATGCAGAATCATTGAATAAACCTGGGTGTTCCATTAGCAGGAACACTGCGCCATTAGCGATCTCATGCTGTTACGAATCAGAACATCTGTACTTAGGAGAGAACATCTGTTCTTTACGTTTTCTGTTTCTGTTGCTTTGGGGGGGGGAATGAAATCAAACAAAGCAGTATTGAGGGGTGAGGTATGTTTTATGTTATGAAAGCCCTAATATTGGCATCTCGAATTTTTTGGGAGTAGTTTTTAGGCGGGAATTTTATTAGTAGCTTGACACGTCTTTACTTAGACGTGTGCGAATTTTTTGCTGTCACATTGTAGTCTCATTCCCATTTATTTTCAATAATTGTGTAGATATTTTTCATGTATGTATATATTATAGGCTTGTTTTTCTTTATTTAAGTGCAACTATTACAAAATTTTACCTGTATACTCCTTTAGGACTAAATACGAGGGCCATCCAGGAAGTAGATTACGTTTCCGTCTGTGTCCGCTAGGGGCGGGGCTAGCGCGGCCATCTTGGGGTCAGAGCGTTGCGCAGCTCAGTCTGCATCTAGCCGTGCTAGTGAGAGGTTCGTGCTGTGCTCCGTTCAGATACTGTGACGGTTTGAAATGTCTGCGTTAATTGAAAATCCCGCGAGCTGCGAGGTGCGCTCAGTAATAAGGTTTCTGACTGCAAAAAACTGTAAACCGATAGAAATCTATCGGCAGCTTCGTGAAGTGTATGGGGACAACATTATCACTGAAGGTGGAGTGCGTCAGTGGGTCATCAGATTTCAAAATGGCCGAACCAATGTTCACGACGAAGATCGAAGTGGGAGACCCAGCATAGTGACCGCCGAACTTCTCGAAAAAGTCGATGCTAAAGTCCGTGAAAATCGAAATTTCACAATAACGGAACTTTCTTTGAGTTTTCCACAAATTTCGCGAAGTTTGTTGCACGAAATAATCAGCGAAAAGCTTGGTTACCACAAGTTTTGTGCAAGATGGAAGGCAAGAAGAGGTAACGAAGTGGTTGAAGGCGCAGGCGGCCGAATTTTTCGACGAAGGAATTTCCAAGCTCGTACATCGCTACGATAAATGCCTTAATTTGTATGGTGACTATGTAGAAAAGTAGTATTTGAGTGTGGCTTTCATCTGTATATAATAAAATTTGTTTCCTATACTTTGTTTATTTTTTTATTCCAAAACGTAATCTACTTTCTGGATAGCCCTCGTAGACTGCATACAACTTTTTTTGTTGAAATTCCGACGTTAACATATAGCGTGCCGCAAAAGGTTAAAAAATGCATAAGTGAATGACTGTTGAGCAGGCAGGAGACAGACTTATCAAGGGGAAGTTGCCTCCAAACCTAACTCTACAATCATTCAATTCGTGTTTCGTCATTCATGCAGGCAAGGGTAAAAGTCAAAACCAAAAGTAAATACATAGTGAAGAATGTCCAAAAAGAAATACCAATAAAGTGTTACCTTGAGAAAAATGAAGTTTTAATTTTTTAAAAAATTAATTTAATACTAGACTTTGCATCGCTTAATTCTCAAAATACTTCATTATTGGTATTTTCCTTTTAGACCTTTATTTTTCTCAAGGTAACACTTTATTGGTATTTCTTTTGGACATTCTTCACTATGTATTTACTTTTGGTTCTGACTTTTATTTTTGCCTGCATGAATGACGAAACATGAATTGAATGATTGTAGAGTTAGGTTTGGAGGCAACTTCCCCTTGATAAGTCTGTTTCCTGCCTGCTCAACAGTCATTCACTTATGCATTTATTTAAAAAAATTTTAGATTAATTTTAATTTGCTAAATTGGTGAATTTATTTTCATGGTTTAGTTTTGCATGGTTAAGTTTGATTTACTTATGATATCTGAATTTAAATTGTATTGTACTGTTTGCACATTTAGATTAGTTCGAAAATTAAATCTTTTATATGTTTCCACATTATTTTAACTTTAAATTTGCTTTTTATGTATATACATGTTTGTTAAAATTTAGATAGATAGATGGATGTTTATATAAAATATGTAATAATTATCAAACATTATATTAATAATATTATTATTAATATAAGATAGCAATGTTTTACAGTAATTAGAAAAGAAATGTTTATCAGTTAATTACAAATACTGTTTATTAATTAGATTTATATTGTATGACAATGCCAGATAATTATGCTGTGACCGCAATAAATAATACAGAAAAAAATAAAAATATCACAATAAAAGTTAAATATCATTTGAAATGGTTGTCGTCTGAAAAATTGTCTGAAAAGCATTTGAAAACTTGAGTAATTTACAGGGTCTTATTTTTTAATTAGACTTAAAAATCTAACTGAAGTCAATAAATATCAAAACTGATAAATAGTAAAAATTATACTTTTTTTTATTTTAAAATATGAACTAAAATAATGCAATAGTGAAGCAATGTTCTTAACACTTGGTATGAGTTTTAAGCTCAGTCATCCAAGAGGTTTTCAAGTTGTTTCAACATTTGATACCACAACCCATACGAATATAAGACTTCTTTTTAAGGTGTATAATCTTTAACCCATAATAGCTCATGTTTTTCTTTATAGAGCCAAATATCAGATTAAAGTCTTAGGTGCTTTTTTAAATGCAAATCATTAACTTGATGCATTTTATGATTTAAATTTTTCCTGCTATTCAAAATAAGAAAGGGTGTAGAAAACAATCAAAATTTCAAAATATTTACTGACATTCCAAGGGAAACTGAACACAGAGGCATTAATGAATATAAAAACGTGCAAAGAGAAGGAGCTTTACAATTAACAGTTCGGCTTATAATTCCGTACTAAATGTAGTATTTGATCTCGATGTACTCCGTCTTTGATATGATTTAAATCAAATTCCTCGTCATTATAAATATCACAAATACACATCAAATAGTTTTTTGGTTGCAATTTTCTAATTTCGATTATGTGTAATGTATGCTTTACGCATGCACGTGTTGAAAGAAATGTTTAATAAAGAAAACAAATAAATATTAAGCTTTTTTTTTTCTTTTTTGTAAATTTTGATACTTTTTATATCATAATTGTTCTTTATTTCATAAATTATGGTTTCATATTTTTAATTTTATAATTTCTACATCCCATCTTAAAACTGATAATCCGGAATCACCAAAGTCACGACGAGTCCGGATTAATGACTTTTGACTCTATTGTTAATATTACCTCCAGTGTGGCTGAATCTAGACATCTAGATATTGGAATGATTAATTAAGATGTTTTAGGATATGCCTTTAGCTACTCTGAGGAAAAAATGTAGCAGTATTAGTTTATGGCCTTTGAAAAAAACAAGTATAACATTGAAAAAACAGATGTATCACTGAACATGGCTGAAATTAAACTATAACTATATTTACATCAAAGCAGATAGAAACAACTGCTTTCATATAAAACAATGCATTTTTCCATTCCATAATCAATTTACACTGAAAATGTTTCATGATTTTTAAATGTGAATTCACAGCAATCAGATGATGATACAAAATTTTGCAATTGGACATTTTCTTTTCCCTCTCTTCATTGCAGAGCTATAAGTCAAAGATTCCCTAATTTCTATCAGGTATCTAGCCAATCTTATCTGATCAGGCACACCTGCTTTAGCACAGATTAAACCTCATGTGTATGGTTTACTACTGCTCAGAGTCAAATAAATGGGATAAGTATCAATTTTCCTATGAACTCTATATAATGAAATATTTTTAAATGAAATTATGTATATGCACACACATGTATATACACACACACTTCTAAATTACATATTTATTGCTATATTTAAAGAAAAGGAGCTGAAAAAGTAAAATTTTAAAGATACTTATTCACATTCATAAGGCTACATATCAAAAGCATCTTAAATTCATTATTGCAACATATCACTAAAAAGAGAAAACTACAATTAATTAATCTTTTGGTAATTTGAGTTGTTTAAAAAATTAAAATTCAAAATCTTAATTATTCATATTGTATCCAAGATAATTTAACCCTACTTACAGCTATGCATATGCATATATATCCTCACATATAAAATACTATAATACTAGGATAAATATGATGCATAGTTGCATATGTACTACAAAGTCACATAAACAAGAAAAATAACTGTAACTAAATGTGCAACAAATGTTTCTATACCTTGTAAATTTAATAAAACTTTTTCAGCTAAATAGAGTTACAATATGCAATAAAAGTCACATGGAACTAAACTACTGAATAATTTTTACATATGTTAGACATCTATTATGCATTTTGTAACTACTGCATACATCTCTTAATATTTAAATGATATACAGAATTTACTCTTTACTTACATGTATAATTTCATAACTCTTCTCTACCCACTGTTTGGCTTAGAACAAATCTTACAATATCTTCAGCACTTCGTCCTTGTTCATATTCCTTGACCAAATTGCCATTTCTAAATTGAATAAACATAAAAAGCAAATTCGGTATAATTTTAAAAGCAGGTGTATTAAAAGTTTTTTAATTTCATTATAAAAGTAAAATTTAAAATATACTCACTTAAAATAAATCACTGAAAAAAAAAAATAATAATTAATATAAAAAATATTACAAAATATTAAAGTAAAATCTTATTACAAATTCAAATTAATTTGAAATTTAAATTTATTGAGTTAAATTTAAATTACTATGAATTCAAATTAATTTGAAATATAATATCAGAAATAAATACTACAACGCAGACACTCACAAAAAAAAAAAAAAAAAAAAAAAGAGAGAGAGAGAGAAAGAAAGAAAGAATAGGGGGAAAACTAAAGGTTTTTTACTCGAAAGACTTAATTATGAAACAATAATTCACTCAAAATGTATAAAGAAAATCATTTTATCATTTTAAACAACACAGAACTTATTTTTAGGCTAAAAAGTTACACAATTTTAAAATAAAACATAAGAAACCTTGCAAACATATTAAACATAACACTTATGCATACATTTAAAAAGTCTTGAAGAAATTGAAATACTTACTAAACACGTAAATAATTTAAACAGTTCACAATGTAAAAATCAACATATTACACTTTATAGTGACATATAGCTCACAACTTACCAGTGGGAAAAGCTCTGACTGAATATTTATTAGATAAAGAGTGTTCTACAGTACTGTCAACAGCTGCCAAAATGCAATCCACCTTTATCCATAAAAGAAAAATTTAGATATTTATTTTGTATTTATTTAATATTAAAGTATTTTTAATGCATGCAAAATGCTTGGGAAATAGTCTACATGCTTCACTTTGTCAAATACAGATCCTACATATAAACATCTGATCACAAAATTTGTTAAAATGAGAGAGAGAACTTTATGAAAAGCTTAACGGTCACGAGAATTCTATAAAATTTAAATTTAACTTTTCATATGTTCTTTAAAGTAAAATTTCGAATTAGAAAAACATTTAATATGTTTTGATTAGTTTAAAAATTAAACATAAACAAAAAAACTTACATTTATTGTATAAAATGCAAAACTATATGATAAACTTTGGAAGATGATAATTAATTACATCCTTTGTCAAAAAAGTTCCAGGACAAAGGTCGTAAAAAACAGAACATTGCATTTACCAAAAAATGATTATAACTGCTTTCAAAGTAGTCCCCCTTTCAAAGTATGCCCTATACACAATTGCCAATGTTTCTAGAGGTCTTGGAAGCAAGCAGGGAAATCTTCAACTGCGATGGTTGCAAGCTCATTTGTCATAATTTGTCACAAGCTCATTGCCATTCTCTATCCAATAGTGCAGCGGAAATTCTTCGTCTTTCCTCTTTCTGTTCATCTGTTAGTGAGTGGGGGACAATTCTTAAGTTTTGGTTTCCCTAAATATTCATGTAAAATCTTATGACACACATCATGATTCAAATTGAGTTCTTCTGATATCATATGCACAGTTACACGACAGGTGTGCAATAACAGCCTTACATGCTCCACGTTGCTACAAACAGGCGACCAGCTCCGGGATTGCCTTGCACTGAATCTCTGCCTTCCCAAAGCCTTTCATGCCACGATTTTTTTAAAGTACTTCACCTGCATATACTTGTTCAATCATGTTCTATGTTTCATGCTTTATCATGCTCGACATTTTACTAGGGGTTTATCACAGAGCTTAACGTTCACTCTTTGCTCACAATCAGCATCCATTATGTCAGCTTAACGAATGTGACAACCATCCAAACAGTGTGTTGCTAAACACAGTCCTGCTCCCTAGTAAGTTTTTCCAAACACATGGCCAAGGTTATGTCAAGTAAGAATACAGTAAACATAAAAACAACATTTGTTCCTTTTTAGTACTGCAAACTCAGAAATTTAAAAAAAAAAAAAAAAAAACTTCCTGGAACTTTCTGACAAAGGATGTATTTAACACTGAATAAACCAAAATTCCTCATTATAACTGGAATTGGCCTCCTTATTTTTTAAAAAAATGTCTAACAAGTGTACCTTTACAAATTTAGCATATAAAGATATAATTATAAATAATGTATATTTTCCTCTATAAGTACCATATACTTTTCCAGAGAATTCTTCCTACACTAGCATTAGTTCATTATTTGCATAAAATTATGCTTCTTAATTTTAAAATCTTTGTAAAGTATCAAGTAATCTAAGATGAATGTTTAAGTCAATAAAGAATGCAGCCCAGTTTCTCATATACTCTGCTTATGCGTGTATACATAAGGTGATTCACTAAAATAATTATTCTTAAATTATTGCATATATTTTACATGCTTCATAGAAGAGAAATCAAGTACCTGTTGGATGATACCAGAAATCAGAAGTCTGCCAACTCTCATGTAGTAATATTTTTTCCCTCAGAGGGCTTAAAATTCCGTGTTTTTAAATTTTAAAAGAAATTTTAAAAAAGAATCATGTTGGCATTCTCAAACTATTTCTGAATAATCTTAATGACAATCATGTACAAGTTTCTCCCGATTTATGAAAATTTGCATTACATCTTTGCATTTACCTTCATTCATACGTTTTCAAATTTATAAAAGAAAATCATGCAATTCTGACAGAATGCCAGCGGCTGAGCGCTAATGTCACTGAACACTGGTAGTTCGGTCTGAAGTTCAAAAATCCAGTGAACAGGCTGGCTGTATGGCCATTGTCATAGTCTTCCCTATATATAACATGTATATGAGACAGTTTCCCTTAGAAAGTCCTCCACAAAGGCATCTCTTCCCTGAGGCAGATAGCGTTAGAGGCTTTGCGATCTCTACATATAATAGAGACTGTCTCTGTCTGTGTGTGTCTTTCGTTCGTGCTGCGCGTAAGCTAATATACCCAGGGCTAAGGCTAAGAAATTTGGTACATAGACAAGAGCCAGTGCACCTCGAAGCGATTTTTTAAAAATTCTAATCAGTTTTTTTTTTTTTTTTTTTTTTTTTTTTTTTATGAAATCACACACTTGAATAGTTCTCTTTGAAATGTTTTGTTCATCTTTTCGTAGATAGGTGGCGCTCTTGATGCGCGCCGATGAAAAATATTCTCACTTGACGCTTGAACATGAAGAATGACGCATGTCATATTTATTTGATGCTTGATTATGTTTTCATGGCCGCTATAGGCGGAAGTATATAAGTAATATAAGTTTATCGTTAATAAATGTTATTTCTATGTTCTGTGAAATCTTGAAAGTTTTGATTTGAAATTCTAATGCTCTCCCAACCTTGACTCCTGAAAACGAAACGATCTTGAGAATTTATGACTCATGAAGACATACCACATACATTTTTTTTTTTTGGTGTCTGAAACCCGCGAAAAGGGGAATTACCTTTTGAAAGGTAAGAATTTTGATTTATTTGTTCTTGGTATCGATCTTTGAAAACGAAACATAATGGATGATTTAGCAAAAGAGAAAAACAAACGTGATTTTGTACTTATTAAAGTTACTACACTTCTAAATAAACTTAAGAAATTATTATCGGAAGAATTAAGTAAAGAACATCTAGAAGATCTAAATTCATCATATGAATTGTTAATTGAATACCATGAGAAACTTAAAACTCTTGACTCAAAGATCGATGCTCTCATAATTGATGAAAAAGAATATGATAACGAACTACTTGTATGTGAAGAGTATGATGAAAAAATTATAACGTTTAAAGCTAAGATTGTTAGTAAAGTAAAGAAAATTAACAGTAATGAAGTTGTTGAAAGAAGTATAATTACAACTAGTAATGGTATTAGTAGTACTCTGAATGGTAATAATGTTGTTACAAGTAGTGCTTCAGTAAAGTTACCTAAATTAAATATTGAAAAATTTGCTGGTGATCCCAGTAAATGGCTCGAATTCTTTAATTCGTATGATAATGCTATTCATTCTAATCCAAGTTTATCTAAAATAGATAAGTTTACATATTTGAAAAGTTTATTATCTGGTTCAGCATATAATTGTGTTTCTGGTTATGCTTTATCTGAAGAAAATTATGATCTATGTATTAAAAGTTTAGAAGAGAGGTTTGGTCGTAAAGATGTTATTATATCAAAATTCATGCAGATGTTGTTACAGTTAGAACCAGTTAAAAGTTCTTCAAATGTTTTTGAGTTAAGAAAGCTCTATGATCAGTTACAAATCTGCGTTAGAAATTTAAGTAGTTTAGATGTTACTAGCGGTTCATACGGACAGTTATTGAACCCAATAATTCTTAAATTGTTACCTGAAGATTTAGCTCTTGAATTCCATAGAAAAAGAACATCTAACCAAAATATAGAAGTAAGTGAATTAATAGAGTTCATTAAAATCGAAACTGAATGCCGAGAAGCAAGTATTTTGATTAATAGCTCAAAAGGTAATAAATACACAGGGGTTAATCCTAAACAAGGGTTCAAAAATTATAAAGTCAAATCACAAGCTTCTGCTTTTAACACATCGGTAAAAATGTTTTGCATATTCTGCAAATCAAACGAACATACATCTGCCGGATGTTTGAAATTTTCCGACGAACAAAAACGAAACAAATTAAAAACATGAAGGTCGCTGTTACAGATGCTTTCTAAAATCACATTTGTCGGTCGTTTTGTCAGGTCAAAAATACAACCATGCGAAAATTGTAACGAGAAAAATCATAATAAACTTTTCTGCCGTTTGAAATCGAAAGAAATGGAAGATGTTAAACTCCGCAGATACGCAAAATAAAACTTTAGTATCTACTTCCCACTGTAACACTCTAAAACCTGAAAATAGTGTGCTTTTACAGACATGTTCTGTTATTGCTCAAAGCAAAAATAAATCGAGAATCGTAAGATTATTAATTGATTCAGGTAGTGAACGAAACTTCATCACCCACAAGTTAGCGCGCGATTTAGAATTGCAAGTCATTAGAAAAGAATTTCTAACAATTTATTCGTTTGGAAATCAGCGCGGTAACTCGCAAGAATTTGATGTATATAGTCTAAAAATAAAAAATAAAAACGATGATCGCTGCCTTGTTGTAGAAGCTATAGGGATAGAATTAATATCATCAATAGAATTCCAGGCGCCATCAACATGTCAAAACATTAAAGAATTTATGACGACTAAAAAGGGTTTGGAACTTTCGGATACAAGTCCCGTTAATGAGAACATAAATATTCTGCTTGGCGCGGAGCATTTCTGGTATATACAAACAGGAAGTAATTCAATGATAAATGATGGTTTGTTTATAGTACCGACCATATTTGGATACACAGTGATGGGTAAAGTAAAAAATAATAATACTCGAATTAATGCGTTGTTTTTATCTGCCGTTGAAGGAAACACATTTGATTTGCAGTCATTTTGGAAATTGGATTCGATAGGAATTGAAAATGAAAACAAAACATTTTCGGAAACTGATTTGGATACTATTAAGCATTTTAACGACAGTTTAAAATTTAATAACGGCAGGTACGAAACAAAACTCTTTTGGAAGGACAATAAATCACAACTCGCTGATAATTTTTTCGTTGCTAAACAACGATTTCTAGGACTAAAGCATAAATTAAAGGGAAATGATTTCCTATATAATGAATATGATAATATAATTAGAGAACAAGTTGAAAAGGGGGATTGTTGAACAATGTAAGTTTGTTGAAAATGAACCTAACTGTTATTATATGCCTCATAGGCCCGTTATACGTGAAGGAAAAGTAACAACAAGAATAAGAATAGTTTAT